GCAGGCGCCGCACGCCCCGCGCGCGCACGGCCGCCAGCTCCTGCTGCAGCTCGCGCAGGCGGCTCGCCTGCTCGCGCTGCAGAGCCCGGACCCAGCGCAGCCCGTCCAGCTCGGCGCCCAGGCGGGCCAGCGCGGCCTCCCGCTGCAGCAGCTGCTCCCGCAGCGCCGCTTCCCGCTCCTGCGCGCGGGCCGCGAGCTGCCGCTGCCGCGCGCGGATCTCGTCCCGGGACGCCCGGCTCTCCTCGCTCAGCGACACGGCGGCCTCCCGGCGGCGCCGCGCGCGCTGCGCCAGGTAGTCCGCGAACGCCCGGCTGCTGGCGCGGAGGCTCCGCGCCTCCTGCTCCAGGAACTCGTGCTGCGCCCGCAGCCGCCCCTGCCGCGCCCGCAGGCTGTCCAGGGCCTGCCGCAGGCGGGCGTCCTCCTCCAGCAGCGCCGCCTCCGCCTGCGCGGGCCGCGTGGCGTCCTCGGCCGCGGGCGCTGGGGCTGCGGCCGCCCTCCGAGCCGGCTGCGCTCCCTCCGGCCGCCCGCGCTTGCGGGGCATTGGGGCACCTGGGGGAAGAAAGGCGACGGGCGTCAAGGGCTGCGGCCGCGTCGGGGCGAGGAGGGGAGCGCCGCGTGGGCCCCCTTCCGCCGCGGCGGGGCGTCGAGAAGCCGCCACCACCGGACTGCCGCGGCCAGAGGCCGGGCGCTGGAGTTGCGTTTATTTATAGGCCGTGTGTTCCCAGTGCTGGGACTCGAGGCTGCTCACAAAACCATTTATAGAGATGTGCAGCAATATAATTAAATCAGTAAAGTATTAAAAGAATAGAACTGCACAAGCGAAAAGCACTGAATAAATGTAAAAGAATGGAACTAGTCCAGTGCAATCTCACGGCCACAGGCGACTCTCAAGTACCTGCCAGAACAAGAAGGGGGTTGCCTGCCCCCAGAAGCCTTGCAGGGAGGGTGCCAGCCTAGCCCAAGGAAGGGAACTCCAAAGCTTTGGAGCACCTGCGGAGGCTCCCTCCCACATCCCCGCCAAGCACACCTGTGAGCACAGTGGGACCAAGAGAAGGCCTCCAGAAAGGATCAGAGCATGGGCAGAGGGAGAGCAGGGCCTTTCGGGCAGCCTGGGGTCAAGCTGTGGAGGGCACTACAGGCCGCAAATGATGTCTTGCATTGTGCCCAGAAACAGTGGAGGCCACTCGAACTGTTTCAGGAAAGGAGCTGCACCCCCATGCTCACCCCGGCTGGGCTACGGGGTGGAGCACACAGCAGAGGAATTGTGATGGTCAAGCCCCCCCCCCCACCGGATGCCAAGCAGCCCCACCAGTGTCCTTCAGTGCTGCCCCCCATCACAGGCACTGCCAGGGCCGTGGCGTCTCTTGCTCTGTGCCAGCATGGAGGTCATCTTACCCATGTCTCCTCCACTGGTGCCGCCCTGAAACAGGACTGCAGCAGAGAGAGGAAATGAAGAGGGTGCCTTCGCCTCTTCCTCTGCCTGTGGTGGGGGGGTGCATTGCTGAGGGGGCACTTAATGTCCTGGGGAGCAAGATCTCTTGTGCCTGAAATTGGCAGGAGGGACGGGTGCACTCAGCTCTCCTAAAAGAGGCTGTGCTGCAGCCGCTCCTGAAGGAGTGTGCTTTGGCCACGGGAGGGATGAGCAGTTCCCAGCCCTGGACTGCTAAGGTGTTTGTTTATGTCCTCGATCTTCTGAGAACCAGAACTCTCCAAGCACTTCACTGCCATTTCCCTTCTGGGCAATGGGCCTGAGCTGGTGCCTGCAGCCAGCTCCAAGTTCTCTTCCACCTGGGCCCGATCCAGTGCCTGCTCTTGCCCTGCCCCCTCTCCTTTGCTGGGGGAGGTGGGGATGCAAGGGCTTGGTCCCAACGATTCTGCTGGCTTGGTCCTCGCCAGGCCAGGGAGGCCTTCAGACCCCACAAGGCGTCTGAGCTGGCAGGGAGAGGCTCCTCGTCCAGGGCTGCTTCTTGAGCCAAGGTGGGCTGCACCGCCTCCAAGCTTCTTTGCCCAGTTTGCCAGCAATGCCAAGAACCATTCTGGGTCTGCGGCCTGTGCCTGACAGGCTTCCTCCTGACCACTGCCGTCTGCACGTGGGGCTGCTGGGAAAATGGCCCAGCAGCACTGATTAGTTGCACATCTGCCGGCAAAGCTGGTAACGGGGTCTGGGGTGGGGAGGACCCCCTCAGGCACCCGCGCCATGCCGCTGCCTCTGGCACCACCTCTTTGGAACCCACCTCAAAGTGAGCATGAAGGTTGCCCATAGCTTTGAACTGGGACCCTGGAGGCCCGCTCTCAGCGAACCTGCAAAGTTCTCTGGGTGGCGCCACTGCACGGAGGAGCAGGTGCCACAAGGGGCTGTGCCAGAGGAGACCCTCTCGGCAGGAGCCCTGGCCATGAAGAGTCCTCCCTGGCATGGGTTGGCTTAGCACCTATTGCTGCTGCTTCAGGGGTCTTTCCTCGGGCCTTTGGGGATGCAAACCCATGCCCATTCACCTGGGCTGAATCACGGATATCAGTAGGACTTGTATCTGAACAGACAATGCCAAGTAGCACGGCTCGTGGTTTAATTTCTGGAAAGGCTTCAGCATGGGCTGAAAGCAACAGAATGAAATTCAGTAGGGGTAAATGCCAAATTCTGCACCTAGGAAATGGGAGCCAAATGCATTGTTAAAGATGGGGAATATTTGGCTCAACAGTATTGTAGATCATAAAGTGGAGATGAGTCAACAATGTGATGTGGCTGCAAAAGGGTAAATGCTACTTTAGGCTGCATTAATAGAAATATTGCTTCTAAATCAAGTGAAGTACTAGCTCCCCTTTACTCAGCACTAGTTAGGTCTCATCTGGAGGATGGTGTCCAGTTCTGGGCACCACAGTTTTAAAAAGATGCAGACAAGCTGGAAAAAAAAACACAAAGGAGGGCAACAAAGGTGATCTGGGGACCGGAAACAAAGACCTATGAGGAGAGATTGAAAAAACTGGGCATGTTTAGCCTGGAGAAGGGAAGACTGAGCGGAGGGAGGAGAGCACTTTGCAAGTACTTCAGAGGCTGCCACAGAGAGGAGGGCCAGGATCTTTTCTCGATCCTCCCAGAGTGCAGGACACAGAATAATGGGCTCAAGTTGTAGGAAAAGCTTCCTGACTGATAGAGCAGCATGACATGGCAATGGAGCCAATGACCGGGGGGGGGGGGGGAGTTGTGGGCTGTTCCACCCTAGAGGCATTCGAGATGCAGCCAGATGGCCACTTGAGAGCTATGGTTTAACTGGGAGCCCTGCACTGAGCAGGGGGTTGGACTTGATG